CCTTTTTGTGCTGGTTTCTTCCCATCTTTTGTGGATTTATCTACCTGTGGTCTTGTAGTTGGTGACTTTTGGATGGAGTCTCTGAGTGGATGTCGTTTTTGTTGATGAGGAAGTTATTTCTTTCTATTTCTTAGTTTTCCCTCTAACAGTCAGGCCCTCTGCTGTAGGACTGGTGGAAGTCCACCCCAGACCCCGCTTACCTGGGGATCACCTGTGGCAGCTGCAGAACAGTAAGGGTTGCTGCCAGTTTCTTCTTCTGTTGTCTTTGTCCTAGAAGGATACCTGGCAGATGTGAGCCTGAGCTCTCCTTTATGAGGGGTCTCTTTGGATATTTGGGGGTCAGGGAGCTGATTGAGGAGACAGTCTGTCCCTTATAGGTGCTCAAGTGCTGAGCTGTGAGCTCCGTTTTTTCGTTCAGAGCTGTTGGGCAGGTACGTTTAAGTCTGCTGCAGTGGAACTCATAACCACCTTTTTTCCCGGGTGCACTGTCCTGGGAAGGTGGAGCTTTATTTTTAAGTTCCTGGCATGCTGCTGCCTTTTTTCAGAGATGCCCTGCCCAGCAAGGAGGTAGCCTAGTCACAGTCTGCCAGCAGAGGTGTTGCTGAGCTGCCATGGGCTCTGCCCAGCTGCTGTGTGAACTTCTTTGCTGTTTTGTTTGTAGAGGTGTAGTTAGAACTGCCTCAGTAATGGTGGACTGCCTCGGTAATGGTGGACGCCCTTCCCCCAAAAGAGCTGGACCGTCCCAGGCCCAGCTGAGCTTGCTGCAAATTCAGATTGCTGGGCTTTGTGGGGGTGGGATCCGCCGAGCCAGATCACCTGGTTCCCTGTTTCAGCCCCCTTCTTTCAGTTGAATGGGTGGCTCTGTCTCCCAGGTGTTCCAGGCGCCAGTTGAAACGGCACCTGGATTTGTATGAGTTTTTGTGCGGAGACCCGCTGTGCCGGCTGAAACAGCCTTGCTGGAAACTTGTGCCACTTTTCAGCCCGTGAATCTCCTGGTCTGTGGGCAGTAATAACTCAGTTTGGAAATGTGGTGATCACTCACCCTCTGCGTTGTTCTCACTGGCGACTGCACTCCAGAGCTGTTCCTATTTGGCCGTCTTGGATCCCTCCACTTATGTCTTATTTTAGTAAGCCAGCAAACATCTATTAAGCATCTACTACTTAACTGCCAGCCTCCAGACCCAGAACTAGCAAAGAGTCATGGACAAAACCATTTGACATGGTTTTAAAAGGAAGGAAAGAAGTCTAAACTATAATGTTCCCAAAGAAAAGTGCAATTAATTGAGCAAGGCTTTAGGCTCCTTGTTTAAACTGGGGAAAAAGAATCCCATTACATAAAAGGTGTTTGTTATTTCTTGAGATTTGGGATGAAAAAGTTGAATTCAGAAGGCTGTTTACATAACTAATCATGCCATTTGGTACAAGATAAACAGAGAACCCAGCTTGTTATTTGGGGCCCCATTAAAATGACAAAAAGGGGCCTGGCAGCTGTGCAGTGGCTCACACCTGCAATCTCAGTACTTTGGGAGGCCAAGGCAGCTGGATCGCTTGAGGTCAGGAGTTCAAGACCAGCCTGGCCAACATGGTGAAACCCCATCCCAATAAAAATACAAAAAAAGTTAATCGAATGTGATGGTGCGTTTCTGTAGTCCCAGCTACTCAGGAGACTGAGGCATGAGAATTGCTTGAACCTGGGAGGTGAAGCTTGCAGTGAGCTAAAATCATGCCACTGTACTCCAGCCTGGGTGATAGAACAAGACTGTGTCTAAAAAAAAATTTAAAAATTAAAAATTAAATGTCAATAAAGGAATCCAAAGAAAAGCAGCGAAGGAAACCATGGGAGCTCATTAGTGGACCAATGTCTTAGTCCATTCAGGCTGCTATAACAAAAATATCAGATCAGGTGGATTCGGCAGCCATTTCTCATGGTTCTGGAGGCTGAGACATCCAAGATCATGGTGCCTGCAGATTTGGTGTCTAGTGAGGACCCATCTTCTGATTCATAGCCGGCCACTCACGGTTTCCTTCCATGGGGGAAGGAGCGAGGGAGCTCTCCAGAGTTTCTTTATACAGGCATTAATCCCATCCATAAGGGTTCTGCCCTCATAACCTATTCATCTCTCACAGGCCCTGTCTCCTAATACCATCACATCAAGGGTTACATTTCATCATAGGAATCTGGGGGAGACACACACAAACATTCCATCCCTAAGAACCATTAATCCAGACTTTTGAAAGAGGGTCACCAGTTGGAAGTATGCTGATTGATGGGACAAAGCAGAAGCAGCCACAGAGGAGGAAGCTGCAGCAGAGATGGCAACCGGTTTGCTCAAGATTGTCCTAGAGGGACTCTGGGGGCAGGGGCAGGTGGTGCAATGGACTGGAATGGGAAGGGAAGCCAAAGGGTAGAGATTAACTGAAAGCTGATCTAAGAAAAAGCGTGGAGGGATGATGGGAGGCAGCTGGACTCTGACTGGGTTCTTCCTGCCAACAGTCAACTAAGTATTTTGTTCGAGAACAACCTGGGAAGAACTAGGGCTGTTCATGTGAGTGCTCTTACCCCACAGCAAAGCCCTGCTCATTTAAGCATTTGGGGTCTTCTCTGCTCAGAGGCCAATTTACTACCTGTTCATCCTAAAGCCCAGTTGAAAAGTCTTGACCCAGGTCCAGAGAGCTCTAAGTCAGCCTTCCCTCTTAAGGGAGAGCCCCAGGGGGATACGAATGCCAGCCGCCTCATATAATGAATCCAGTTCTTCATTCTCAAACAAGAATATTGTAGTCAAGGTATATCAGACCTTGAGCAAAAGCCAGCAGCATGAACAAAACCTAACTGGCATTAAACTTATCAGCTCTACTGTTACTGTCAGGAACCCCCCTTTTGAAATTCTGAGAGAAAATCATTTCAAACCTAGAATTCTCTATCTAGCCAAACCTTTAATCAAATAGGTCAGAGGTGTAAAGATTGACAGATGTATCTCCCATGCATACTTTTCTGAGATAGGTTACCTGACTGAGTTGATGTTATTTATAATATGCACCTAAGAAACAGGGGAAAACATTCTAGAACTTTAATCAAAAACAATTTTAGGATGATGGCTATGCAGCATGTTTGCAAAGCAATTGATTCTAATTTGAAAAATCTTGAAGAATGGACTGGATACCATGCAGTAGATAGGGAAGCTTCGAGTAAGCTGAAGGATCTTAGCAAAGTGGTATGGACTGACTATGAAGCAACCCAAAAAGGGGAGCATGATGTTGACCAGTTGGAGGAGTATAAAAAAACTCCATTTCATCTTAAGGCTAGGAACATTCTCCTCTAAGGGACACGTGAATCATTGTCATTGGATTAATAGGGAAGAAAATGTTCAGGTACTTTGTTGTGGCTGTTCTACAGTGATCAATATTTAAATAGTTAAAATGTCACCAACACTATTGATTTTCTACTTTCTTAACAGAACCTATAGGCAATGTACAGCATCCCTAATTCAGATTACAGAACAGAATGTAAATATTACCAAACCAAAAACTACAGCAGAAGTAGTACAGAGTGGCTGCCTCTGGGTTCAGACTGAAGGATAAGATAGAAAGGGGGAAGGACTTTCGTTTTTCTTCTTTTGTTAAATTTTTAAGCCATTTACCGATATTACTAAGTGATTTAAAAAATAACTCCTTAGTGGCTCATGCCTGTAATCTCAGCACTTTGGGAGGCTGAGACAGGTGAATCACCTGAGGTCAGGAGCTCAAGACCAGCCTGGCCAACATGGCAAAACCCCTTCTCTACTAAAAATACAAAAATTAACCAGGCATGGTGTTGCACATCTGTAATCCCAGCTACTTGGAGGCTGAGGCAGGAGAATTGCTTGAACCTGGGAAACTGAGGTTGTGGTGAGCTGAGATCGTGGTGAGCTGAGATCACGCCACTGCACTCCAGCCTGGGCAACAGATCGAGACTCTGTCTCAAAAAATAAATAAATAAAAATGAAAATAATTGCTCTTCGAAGAGTTTGGGATTTAGAATCAAAAACTCTTGGTTCAGGTGTCCGGTTTCAGTGCCACTTCTGGGGCCACAGGCAAGTCACACAGGCTTTCCAAAGCCTGTTTCCATGCCTCTAAACAACGCCACCCTGCTAGGAGCCAGGAAATATTGTCAGGAGGAGTCAATTGAATAATGTATGTGAAAGCTGTTTGTAAACTTCTAAGAATCAAGCAAATGTGAATTCTAATTTATATTATTGTTAATTACTTTATTAGAGGAAGTAGCTGGTTGAAATTACAGCATTCTACCTGAGAGAGTTCACATAGTTTCAATCTCTTAAGTGATTGGGGTCACGAGGAGGGGGAAGGACTGTTTTTGAGCATCTGCTCTGTAGCCCACACTGTTCTTAGTGCTTGACATGGGTTTGGGGGTTTCTCAGATTTTCTTCAGACGATCCATGGTGCAAGGGGAAAAGATCACAGGTCTCTAGGGGTTTATCTGCTAGCTGCTTGAGAAAAAGTTATGTGAACCTTACATTCTATGCTATAAGATGCCTGCCTTGTTTGTCATAATTTAACAAAATTGAACACTGAAGTTTAGTCCAGTTCACCAGCTGTCTTTTATTCCTTTTGCTCCACATTCCCCCGGCTAACCACTGGGGTCAGTGGCAGAGGGTATCCCCCAGTTTGAAAAACACCAAGTGATAATCTGGCTGGCCTTCTGTAATACTCAGAATGTTATGGCACAGGTGATAATATTCCAATTCTGCTCAACAAAGTTTCAAAGAGATTGAGTGCTTTGTCCAAGGTCACATAGCTGGTCAGTGAAGGAACTGGGTTTCACCCCAGGTTTGTTTGATTCCAAAGCATGTGCTTTTGCTCAGCCCTGCCTTTAGAGGTGGAAACTCAAATTAGCCTTTTATTGAGCTCTGTTTTACACACTTGGAAAATAGAATGCAAGCATCCTTCTTGAGTTTCTCCTAGTTTGGGTCCTTATTGATTGATGGTTTTGTCTCTGTTTCCAGCCAAAGCACCAGACAAACCTATTCAGGTGGTTTATGTGCCCTCGCATCTGTTTCATATGCTATTTGAGTTGTTCAAGGTAAGTGGAATTTTAAAAACATGGAAAGAAGTCTTCAATTTAAATTACTTTGATTCAGGACATAATGGATTCATT